GACTACATTATATCAAACGATATAATTTATTCTAAACTACTATAAATTTGACTATAAAATTAACACACTGCAATTCTTCTCGTTATATATTTTTATTATGCAGTTTGTTTGGAGGCCGTATCTGGGTCTCAACATGAGCCTAACCCCGATGACCTTGCAGTCTGGACAACAAAAACACAAATAATTTGATTCACTATAGTGGAGATGCACCATAGTGGTCGAGTGAAACTACAGTTCGACATGCAACAAGATATTCCAGTCCCTCCGATGTGTTTGGGAGACTGACATCAATTGAGAGTAGATGCATAACGAGGTTACGATGATTGGAGATACTTTGCTAAATAAATGTGTCGGCATTATATGAATCAACGTTGCCACATCTTAAATGAGTCTGTCGTGGAAGGGGTTAGACCAAGTCATCAATATATAATTTGTTTTAGGTTGGTTACTACACAATAATTTGTGTATGAGCCGACATATTTGATAGATCCGCGCCAACATGCTTCGTCGTCATACACACAACAACAAACACTTGTCCAACAACCAACCCCGCACCACACCCAACAACAATATCTATCCACCCAATCCCAACTACCCACCTAACACCATTGACATGCCATGTACACCGACCATCAAACTTCCAAATCCGTAACTCATTCATGCCACCCACCCAAACATAACAACAAGAGCCTGACCCTTACCGCCAACATCCATACACTGACACCACACCTTCCTATAGTCCCAATGACTCATTCATCTCCCCCTAGTCCACCATAGCCCCCCCACAAATGAACACGAAATATCCCACCACCAAAACACCCAACCACTATTTGACTTCCTTACCCCACAACAACCATTGCATCATTTTCAAAATGATTCAATGTACCAATTCGACCAACCATACCGTCCTCACATAATCCAACCACTGCGACCCAACTTCAAAAACATGGGCACATAACTAAATTACGGCAGCAACCCCCCGGTTATTATGGAAAAATGATTGAAAATATGTCAAATATGTAGGAATCTTCGCACCAAATACCTTTTCCGCAAGCTAATACGCAAAGACCATAGACACCTTAACAAAATCTTGGTAGACATCGGAGGCATGCTAATGCGCCGAGATGTGGAACCGCGGGACGTTTTGATCGGGTCGGACATTGATTTTTTAATCAATTGTTGTAACCTTTAATGTATATTAATAATTTTATTTGTTTTCTATTTATTTTTATTTTTTCGATATTTTAAACCTATTTTTAATTACATTTTTTAATGCAATTTTTTTATATAAAATTTTAAATAAATAATATAAGGATGATGTATATTTGAAATGGTGCATGCAACATGTATACACGATTTGATTTGACTACTCATACATGTATGCTCCAAATCAAATGACACATAAATTTTAATTTATACATACATTTTAAATCAAATGGCGTATCCTTATTAATGTTTTTTGAAACTACGTTATTTTAGTAAATAAATTAAAAATAATATTATTTTGATATTTAAATTGAATAAATAAGTTATTTAAAAAAAATCCACAATTATTAAGTTTTTAATTATTATTATCATTTTATTTATCCGGAAAAATACATATTTTATAATTATTTATTAAAACTAAAATATTGGCAAAATAACCTTTTTCGTCCCTTAACTTTAGCTCGGGGTCCAGTTTGGTCCCTTAACTTTAAAAAGTGTCAAGTTGGTCCTTTAACTTTTAAAATGGTGTCACGTTTATCCTTCCGTTTGTTGCCGTTAGTTAAACTTTGGAAAAAATGCCACGTTTGTCCAGGTGGAGCTGCTGACGTGGATATGAAATGTCTTAAAGGAAGATAAAACAATCTAACGTTTCCCTTACCCATAAGATTGCATGATACAACGCTTGGAGACTCATTGAATCATTGAAGACAATTCAAGGTTTGCAGACGCGAATATTCAATACTCGAAGGATTGAGGGTGAAGGATTGAAGACGATTCAAGGAGACATAATCAAAAGGTTAGTTCATTTATCCTTGATTTAGGGTTTACGAATCTCATAGGGCAATATCTGCTAGAGGTTCAGATTTAGGGTTTATGTAAATTTGTTAGTGTAAACTCTAATTATTTAGATGATATGATTAGGTATCATGGATGAATACATAACTCTCAAAATTCATCATAGTGGTGAGTTCACAGATGAAGGTCGTAGTGTATATGAAAATGGAGTAGTAGATGATTTGAGAGTAGATGTAGACAAATGAAGTTGTTTTGATCTAGTTGGTGTATTGAAAGACTTAGGTTATAGGGAGTTTGAAACAATATTTTACAAGGACCCTCAATTTGGGATGAATCCACTTGTTGATGACAATGGTGCTTTAGAAATTGCAGATCTGTATAGGGTGCACCAAAATGTTGATATTTATATTGAACACACCTTGTCTCAACCTGACTACTGTGATGTTGTTGTTGATGAAGTTGATGAGGACCCTGCTGAAATTGTAGATGAGGTAGAGAAGTTACTTAGTCAACTGCATGATGAAGTTGTGAAAGTTGAACAAACCACTGTTAGGTTGGAGGAAGGTGATGTTAGAGTTGATGAAGCCACTGCTGGGTTGGAGGAAGGTAATGTTGGAGTTGATCAAGGGAATCCTGTAGTGGATGAACATACTGTTGGAGTTGAACAAGGTAATCCTGCAGGAGAAGAAGGCAATGTTGGAGTTGAAAAAGAGAATCCTGCAGGGGAAGAAGGTAATGTTGGAGTTGAAAAAGGTAAAGCTGCAGTGTATGATGGCTTAAATTTATCATTTGATGATAATGAAGATGAGGACTACAATTATGATAGCGCACAAGATGCGGCTTTTGAGGATGAGTCTAATGGGTGTGATGAGATTGAGGAGGATGAACTTGATACCCTATTTGGTCATGAAAATGATGGTAATGGAGAAGTCCAAGAAAATGATGGTAAAGGGAGTGACAATGACAGTGAGGACATGCAAAGTGGTTGTGACATTGATGATAGCAGTGGAGTTCTAAGAAAAAAACATCCAATTTTTAGACAGCCAAAAGACATGTCAGATTACAAGTGGGATGTGGGAATGTACTTTAGTTCAAAGGGTGATTTTAGGGAAGCAATGACAACTTATGCTGTGCAAAATAGTAGAGACCTAAGGTTTGTAAAAAATGACAGAGTTAGGGTAAGGGTTAGATGTAAATTTGGTTGTGAGTGAGAGGCTTATTGTAGCAAGTTGTCAAATGAAGACACTTGGCAACTCATGAAAGTAATTGACAAACACAGTTGTAGTAAAAAGTATAATATGAAGCTGATGAGTACAAAGTGGTTAAGTAAAAGAATTCAGAATAGCTTGAAAAACAATCCAAGGTTGAGTATAAAGGATATCAAGGAGAAGTCACAAAAAAATGGAATGTTGGGGTCAACAAAACCGAAGCTATAAGAACAAGATTTGCAGCTAGAGACTATGTTGATGGTTCCTTTTTGAAAGATTACACAAGGGTCTATGACTACTGTCATGAACTGTTAAGAGTCAATCCAAGGTCAACAGTTAAGCTCATTGTTGACCTTGTATAAGAAGGTGTTGAGGATGAAAGACCATATTAACATAATCTTTAACTGTTGGTTATGCTTTGACAAACCAAATTAAAAATACTTTGACACGATATTTATCAATGCATACCAAGTTAACATTATCTTTAACTATTATATTCATGTGGAACTAATACAATCCAAAACTAAAACTGATACATTCATGTTGAACTGCAAAAAGTGATATTAACTAAACTGATACAGGATTAGAATCCATATATTAGAATCCAACTATTACATTCATGTTGAAGTGATACAATCCAAAACTGATACAAACTTTAACTGAACTTAAACCTAATTCTTACAACCAAAACTTAACTTAATTCTTACAAACAAACTATAACATACTACTTCCAAACAAACCTTAATACGCTAACTACTCCTAACAACTAATACAATGATAATCATCACAAACATCAAATTCAAAATCTTTTTCCATTTCATGATATTCTTCATTTCACTTTCAAGTTTCATCAGCTTTTTCCCTAATTCTTCATTCTCCATTGTCACTTTTTCAATGTCCTTTTTTGCTTCAACAAGTTCCTTAGTTACCACACCCAGCCTATGCATCCAAAATTGCTTCTTCTCATCACCCATCTCCTCATAAAACCAACCAAAGAAACCACAACCAGCTTGCATACCTCCCTGTAAGTTTCACTGTTTAGAGGATGATGGATAATGAATTTAAATTTAAACAGAAATATAACTTATAATTTGGACAGAAACAGAAACAGAAACATAAACATAACTTAAACAAAAACAGAACTTCAACAGAGAACAAAACCAGCTTACATACCTTATAATTTGGACAATTCCCAAAATTTTTCCCATATTCTTAACAGTAGTTTCCCTTTGAAGAACATCCACGTCTCCAAAATGGCATATGGGCTTCCATCCTGACCTACTACAAACATTTGAATCTCGACTTTTCGATTTCAACATGGAGGAGGAACAACCAGATTTCATGCTTGCCAAATAAAAAAACTAGATTAATTTAGGGATTCGAGATTAGATTTGAGATTTGAGATTGAGATTGGGAAATCACATTCGCACAATGTGAAAGGAAAGAGGAAGGAGAAGGAAGCAACATGATGAACACAATTGCCAGGTCATATGCCAGATATACAAAATAAACGGACGTTTGAGGACAACTGACGGTGAGTACTAAATTGACACCATTTTAAAAGTTAAAGGACCAACTTGACACTTTTTAAAATTAAGGGACTAAACTGAACCCCGAATTAAAGTTAAGGGACGAAAATGTATTTTGCCTAAAATATTCATACACATACATATTATAAACCGTGTAACCCTTTGTAGCTATTTACATCTAAACCTATATATTAAGTGAATCAGCTTCTGCCAGCAACACCGCTCAACGTTACAGCACCGTCTCCTAATCCTTGTGAAGAGAATGGGTACTAGAGAAGTATACGAAGAGAAACTGAGGAATGGAAATCTCCACCACGATCCAACCATAAACCCTGGCCTTGGTTCTGCTCGTTGCCCTCGTTGTCTATCTCTTCTCAATCCTAATTCCGTGAGTCTCTCTTTCATCTTATTATCTGTCTTGCGTATTAGGTGTTTGATTATTTGATTCAATGAAATTGACTCTGTTTTGTAATTGTGTGCTTATTAGGAAAGAGGTGAATGGACTATTACTCCCGTCTTGCATGATGCCACTGCCGTGGTGAGTATCTCATTATTAACACGTTTCGATTTGTGTTTAGAAATCTTAATATTCTATGAGTTAAACTAAGATCAATGAGAATTTGGAATTGAGCTTATTGGTTTTGTGTTATTAAACTCAAATTTTAATAATATACTTATCTATGGAAACATGGTATTGACATGTCAACAAGGACAGACACCAAAATACGACACGTCGACACCGATACTGACACGTCGACACTGATAATAATTTGAAAAAGTGAATAAATGGGACGTAATCACAAGTGTCGGTTTCGGACACAGACACACCTTTTGTCTTTTTCAGAGGTGTTGATGCTACCGTGCTTGTCGACACCGATAATAATTTGAAAATTTATGTTGGTGTCATGAACACATTCTAGACACACATTCAATCTGAGTGTCAATGCTATATAGATTCTTATTGTATGAGTTCTCTTGTGCTTATTTTGAGCTTTTGGTTGAATAGGTTGGCTCGGGGTTTGGCGGAATGATTAGTGCAGTTCATGTTTTGAATAGAGGTAATTTTGGTTTGGTTCTCTACTTAATGATGTATAGCTTGAGTTTAAATGTGATATAGTGTTGGTTACTGACGTTCTTATATAATATCTCTAGACAAGAAAGTGTTGTGTCAGTGTCATTACTTAATTATTCAGGTCATTTAGTTGTAGGAAAAGCTGAATTTTTTTTTTGCTTCCTAAGGGGCCGTCGTGTTATTTGCTCTGATGATGGGTTAAAGTTAAATCCAAATACCTAATTTGTTTAAGATATTGATCTTTAATATTTGGTTGTAGGGTTGCCATATCTTCAAAATCGTCTGAAAGGACCAAAGTGGCTGCCTTTTCTTGTTGGGGTATGTAGTCTTTTATGACTTGAGTACGTTGCAAATTAAAATTACACGGCTTTGTGCTTGTGGATCCCGATGTCTATGCCATAGTAGTTGGTTTCATCTTCACGCTTTTAAATGTTGAGATAATTAGATGCATTTATGTACAATAGAGCTTGATTGTAATTTATATCTGACCTTCTTTTCTAATTTATTCCTATAGATCCCTCCATTGTTGATATTTTCAGGAGCAAGTGCTGCATTTGGAGGTAATTCTATTTACATACCTGTTTATTAGACTTTTTTTACTGTCTTTAATTTTAAAACTAAACACTGCTGAATGTTTGACAACTACTGTATGGCAGCTGTGTAGTTGCTTCATGCTTCACAAAATGAAGGGTTGAATTTTAGGGTTTGTCCCCTGCTTTTTGTTTTTTGAATCATGTTTTAGAATGGTTTGACAAAGTTAGTTACAATAGGTGAACTGATCCTATTTATAGAAAAGCTAAGTGTGACTATAACAAACTTAGTGCCAGCTCAGCTAAGTGTAACAAACTTACACAAGCTGTTAACCAACTTTTCTAAACCTGCTGCAACTCACTTTATAAACATAAAGCAGAGTTGCTTAATGCTACATCTTATTCTCTAATATCTTCCCCTCAAATGGTGAGGGTGATAGAACAGAGGTATGATATAATATGATAAAGAAAAGTATTTTATTAATGAATGTGAAAGTAAAATAAATTCCAGAGCTACTGCTCCTCAGAGAAACAATTCTCTCACTGCCCAAATCCTAATATCAAAAAACAGAAAATCAGTCCATGCCTAACTACTGCCCCATACACTCCTTTTTATATGGAGAATAATCCCTAAACTAACTCCTATTTATATGGAGAATAATACCTAAACTAACTCCTATTTATTTGTGGAGTTTCCTATTCTTTCTCACATATACCCTCCATTGTTTAGGTCCAATAATATCTCTATTAACTAACACTTTCCCATCATCATTTGTGGGATCCGATCCATTCCTATCATCACCCCCACCTACAACATTAGCCTTGTCCTCAAGGCGCAAATCAGGGAATTGACTCTTCAGCAACAGTTCCTCTTCCCAGGTAGCATCTCCAACATCCATCCCTTCCCATTGAATCAACCATTCTCTCTTATGTTGTCCACCATCAAATTTGTCCCTCCATGACACAACCTTAGCTGGAGTAATGTCCCCTTTTTCTGACTCTAAACTGATAGGTAGTTGAGTTGTAGCAGTATAGTTGCCCACCGCTTTCTTCAATTGCGACACATGAAAGGTAGGATGTTATTTAGATGTTGGTGGTAACTTCAACTTATAAGCAACCTGCCCTATCTTCTTTAGGATTTGATACGGACCGAAAAATCTAGGGGCCAGTTTTTGATGGATTCTTTGCACAACCGATTGTTGTCGATGAGGACGTAATTTGAGGAAAACCCAATCACCCACCTCAAATTGCACTGCCTTGCGTTTCTTGTCAGCTTGGAATTTCATGTCCTCCTGGGCTTTGAGTAAATTAGTTTTTAATTGACGCAACGCCTCATCTCTGTCCCTTAACTCCTGTGCTACAACTTCCACTCTGGTTTCACCCTCCAAAAAATGCACCAACGCTGGAGGTTTTCTACCATATACCACCTCGAAAGGGGTGAACCCGGTAGACACGTGAAATGTGGTATTGTACCACAGTTCTGCCCATGGAATCCAGTGTGCCCATGTCTTAGGTTGATCTGCAATAAAACAACGTAGATAGACCTCTAAACAACGATTAATTACTTCTGTTTGACCATCCGTTTGGGGATGGTATGCCGAGGACATTTTAAGCACCGTACCTACTAATTTGAACAACTCTTTCCAAAAAATACTCACAAACAAGGGGTCACGATCACTAAGAATAGACTCCGGAATGCCATGTAATCTAACCACTTCCTTCACAAAAACAACAGCTATTGAGCGAGCAGTAAATGGATGTTTAAGAGGAATGAAATGGCTGTATTTGGAGAGACGGTCCACCACAACCAATATAGCTTCAAATCCATTACTTTTTGGCAAACAAGCGATGAAATCCATGGATATCTCACTCCACACCATAACCGGAATGGGAAGAGGTTGTAGTAATCCATTAGGAGTCGTTGCCGCATATTTTTGTCGTTGACAAGTATCACAAGCTTTCACAAAATCTTGCACCCTCCGCATCATCCCTTGCCAATATAAAGTTCCTGCCATTCTCCTATAAGTGCGTAGGTAGCCGGAGTGACCCCCACTTGGAGAAGAATGAAAATCTTTGAGTAACTCCTCAATAAGTGGCGAGTTAGCTGGTATAACTAACCTATTTTTGTAGAATAAGATGCCACCTTTTAAAGCAAAACCAGGTTTAGCATTAGGATCTTTTTGAATAGCTTCCATAATATTTTTAAGCAAAGGATCATTTGATACTTCTTGTTGTAGTTGGCTGCTCTGCTGCCAAATAGGGTAGGATTTAATCGCTTGCATTTCAGCATTCTCGTGCTGTCTAGATAAAGCATCAGCCACTTTGTTTTCCACTCCCACCTTGTACACCACCTCAAAGTCAAAACCCAATAACTTAGCCATCCATTCTTGCTGTTTTGCTGTGGTAATACGTTGTTGCAACAAGTGTTTTAGGCTCTTTTGATCAGAATAAACCACAAACCTCCTGCCTAACAAATAATGTCGCCAATGTTGAATAGCTAACACTAAAGCCATTAACTCCTTATCATAGGCAGATTTGGATAACCTAGATGAATCAAAAGCCTTGCTAAAATATGCAATGGGATGCTTCGATTGTAACAATACTGCACCAACTCCTTTTCCCGAGGCATCACATTCAATTTCAAAGGGGAACTTGAAATTAGGCAGGGCTAAAACTGAGGCAGTTGTAACAGCTACTTTCAATTTCTCAAAAGCTTCGGCAGCTGCCGGATTCCAGCTAAAACCATCCTTCTTTGTCAATTTTGTTAAGGGTTTAGCAATTTTTCCATAATTCGCTATAAACTTTCGGTAATAACCCGTCAACCCCAAAAAACCTCGCACTCCTTTGACATTCCTAGGAATAGGCCATTGTAACACACTGCTGACCTTGGCAGGATCAACAACAACCCCTGCTTTGGAAATGACATGACCCAAATATTCTACTTGGTGCTGACCGAAAGTGCATTTCTTCCGATTTGCCACAAATTGATGCTGCTTCAGAATATTAAGAACCACCTCCAAGTGCTGTAAATGTTCAGCCCAACTACTACTGTATACTAGGATATCATCAAAAAAAACCAGGACAAACTTCCTTAGAAAAGGCTTGAAAATTGCATTCATCACCGATTGAAAAGTTGCAGGAGCATTGGTGAGGCCAAACGGCATTACCAAAAACTCATAGTGACCCTCATGAGTCCGAAAAGCAGTTTTATGAATATCCTCTTCCTTCATCCGAATTTGATGATAACTGGATTTAAGATCAAGCTTAGAGAAATAACTACAGCCATGTAACTCATCTAACAATTCATCTACAACCGGAATAGGATACTTGTCCTGAATTGTGACCTTGTTGAGTGCACGGTAATCTACAGACATACGCCAAGATTGATCCTTCTTCTTGACCAAAATGACGGGACTAGAGAACGCGCTGGTGCTGTTTCTAACCACCCCTTGTTGCAATAGGCTCTGAATCTGTTTTTCAATTTCATCCTTGTGTAAATGAGGATATCTGTAAGGTCGCACACTTACCGGACCCGCACCCTGGAAAAGGTCAATTGAATGACTAGTGTTTCTTGACGGAGGAAGACCTTGGATTTCTTTAAACACAATAACAAAATGCTCCAACAATCCTTCCAACTCCTTAGTCTGTTGATCCGAGACACACGACAACGGTGACCCTAACACCTCCATCAAGGTAGGCCATTCACAGCCTGCTATCATTCGAGAAGGAGTGATAATGCTTTGGAAAGTAGCCATCTTATCATCTACAGCCTGACCAAGTAGTTTCACCATCCTGCCTTTATGGTTGAACTCCATAGACATTTCTTTCCAATCCATGGTCACCTTCCCCAACGTTTCTAGCCACACAACTCCTAAAATCAAATCCACACCTCCTAACTCCAATACATAAGCATCAAAGCAAATCTGCACTGATCCCACTTTCATCTGAATTCCATTGCATCTACCCCTAGTTAGGACACGATGACCATCTCCTAACTTAACACCCAAAGGATTAGAAGGCACCATAGACAATCCCAGGGCTTCAACCACCTTAGGTGATATGAAATTATGTGTGGCTCCACTGTCAATAAGTACCAGAATTAATGCACCTTGTAAACATCCCTCCAATTTCATCGTCCGGACCTGATTTGGATTAGTGGATACACCAAACAACCCCATGGTTTTACATTCTAATTCCTCTGGTGTGAGCTCTTCTTCCGTCGCAGCCTCCAACACCACAATCTCTCCTGCATCGTTAACAATTTCGTCATCCCCCAAGATAATCAATCGTAACTGTCTTGTTGCACATTGATGGAGAGGATCCCATCGTTCGTTGCAACGAAAATAGAGTCCTTTCGCACGACGCTCATTAACCTCTGCACTTGGTAGATGGCGAACACCACGAGATTGACGGCGTGAATTGTCACCTAAATTTGGGCGAGAAGATGCTGTAGAATTGGTAGGACGTGTTTGAGATCCAGAATCCGAACCAGTCCGCGTTTTGCCCAAAGAATTATTAGGCTGGGTCTGAGTTGCAGATCCGTTCCCTTCCCCTTCGCGAAAAGCCCAAGTAGGCTTTTGAGATTTTGTCCAAGAACCATGACCCGGTTTGTAACGTGCTCCAGAACCCTGTCCAGAAGCCACTGCAAATTCTCTTTCAACATCACGAGCCAATTGCATTGCTAGGTAACGGTTGCGAGGCTTGAAGGTACGCACACGAGAACGAATATCATGACGTAAACCACCAATGAAGTAACCTAGAAACTGTTGTTCTGGCAAACGACCACACTGTGAAGAATACAATTCGAATTCAGCAATATATTCCTCTACTGATCCCGATTGTTTTAGGTCCTTTAATTCCTCAAACGGATTCTCCAAACGCCCACCTCCAAATCGAACCATCATCGCCTCACGAAGGTTCTCCCATGACAATTCCTCTGTTGAATCATGCCATAGGTTAAACCAATGGATAGTAGGGCCTTCCATACTCAATTTGGTCAACTGAATACGAACATCCTGCGAAATTCGAAG